GGTTTTAATCTAGTATTTTTGAATTATTATCAGGACCAAATAAACAATCTTAAAATTGTGAAATTGTCTCAAAGCCTCATCTGTAAGCGGGTCTGCGTGCCTTATGGTAGCTTTTACAGCGGAATTATTATAATCAATCTTATTTTTCTAAAACAGGGTTTTTTGAATTTAAATTGGTAATTACTTTCACACAGCACCCGCCACAGTGAGATTCCACCGTGTAAAACGTCTGTTTTATCCCCTTTTATGAGCTTGTAATGGTTTGACTCTCTTTATAAAGTGCTTCCTGGTACAGTCGGCTCAAGAAGCGAGTGTTTTTTTTTTGTTTTATTTATTTATTTATTTATTTATTCATTTATGTATTCCTTTATTTATTTATTTTTTGAAGCGAGTGATTGAAGCAAAATACAGCATGTGAGCATTTTCAGCACAAACACTCCCACGAACTTCAGAGCAATCACAATAAAGTTCTTATGTGGAGGGGGTACCAGGTTGATCAGCTGTTCCCGCGGACAGTCAGGACCCTCCTCCTGCTGTCGGTGTCCTGTTATTCCCGTAACGTGAAGAGAATCGCATTTCTTTTTCTACGTCTCCAGACAGCGTGTAACACCACCAGAAGTAGTTGATAACAGAATAATCCCAACTTTCGTGATAGTAGACATCCTGAGATGTGTAGTCCCAGTGATGCGACTTGTACTTCCTGTTTTATACAGGCATGCATCTGACGTAATGACACTGCGTAGCCCTACTGATTTGCTCGAATTAAAAGAAAAAAAATTCCTGTATCTGCATCATGATCCGTAACATCACCAAAATTTAATGGTGTTTAATGGTGTTCGTTGGGCCAGTACCCACGTGATAAAAATGTCATGACAATCCGTCCACAGGTTTTTGAGTAATTTTGTCCACAGACAGAACAACAGAACGACAGACAGACAGACATACGCGACCGAAAATGTTCCCTCCTCCCCTTGGCGGAGGTAATAACATAAAAATGGAAGAGCCAATCAGATATTGCAATACTGATAAACATAACTCCAATATCAGTTCCAAACTGTGCTGCAGCTCAACACAGAATCAAGAATTTTTCCAAACCATATTTTCAGAGGTTTTTTTCAACCTAAACCAATAATCTGACTGGAGCTCTTAATGGTTCTTCTTAAAGCTTCATCTCTTATCTGTGCTCTCAGCACCCAAAGGCCTTTGTAGTCATCTGTTTGCATCTTTCTGTCTGATTCTGTTGCTCTTCTTTCAGCCAGTTTCCATTAATTCAAAGTTTTCATGACCGAATATTGATAAGGGAACAAAATACCACAAAACACTTTGCAACAGGACCTGAAGTGTGTGGTCCTCCATCCTTGCCAAACTCTTTGATCAGTCCACACAGTCCTATCAGGTGTGGTTGACAAGCCTAAGTTCCAACTTGATATTTTTAACAACAGCAGAGTCACTCTTCTCATCAGTCACACTTGTAATGTACGAGACACAACAGTAACATTTACAGTAGCTTTCTCTTTATGCACTAGATAAACGAGACCATTTCAATAAAGAAAAAAAAAAAGAAAAGGTCAATACATCACATCATAAGTAAAAACTTTTCAGACTAACTGAGATCCAAATGTTGATGTTAACAGCTGCAGTGTTAGCACGGATTTGAAGTTGTGTTTCCAACACTGTTGAGCATAAAGCCCGTCTCACGCTTCTTCCCCTCTTATTTTTAGCTTTGTTCCTGTTCTCGGCCAACTCATCACAAAAATATCTGCCTCTCCAGCAGCTAAACTTGTCACCAAGCTTCAAGGCTGGTCCCGGACTTTGTCTGCCATCTTTCAACAAGTACTGCAAGTTTTTCAGTGTGTGGCTCGTTTTTATTGATAGAGACATGGTGATAAAATGTTAGCTCTAACTAATAACTAATTTAAAATGTTTGCCATTAGTATTCGTCCATGGATCAAAACACAAAGTTAGAACACTTATTTAATAATGAAACAAAAATCAGAGTTCAAGTTGTAGTGACGAAACCGAGACCACAGAGTATCAACAGAAGTAAACACATTGAACAAAGCCAAGTGTGTAACTGTGAGGCAACACTACTAAATGTTCTCTTTGTGACTTATTCATTTAAGCACAGCTGGTGGACATGTTTTTCTGATCTAAATGAGACTTGTTCAGAGGTCTTTACTAGAAGTGACGTGGGGCGCCCGAACATGACGCTTTAAAGCAAATGGGCACTTTACCATGGTGTAAGCTCCTGAACAAGCACAAACAAGGTAGGAGCACACACTGTGTCTATGGTTTACGTCATGGAGCTCCTGCAGTTGCTCACTCCTGGCATCAGCCTCACCAACACACACACACACACACACACACACACACACACACACACACACAC